ATTATTTAACAATTTTACATTATTTCCGAATAATAATAATAATAATGATAATAATAATAATTTGTTGTATTTTTTCTGTTTTTTTTTTAAAAAAAACATGAAATGTTAAAAGAAAAAATTAAAGCAGTAATACCTATAATTAGAAGGGGGGAGGAAAAAAAAATTGGTTGATAACAATAATAAGAAAACTGAAGTGGAAGAAGAAAAAAGATTGAACTTTTTTCAACTTTCTACACAACATATTCAGCGACAAAAAAAAAGAAAAAAAAAAGGAAGAACTATATGCAAAAACAAAAACATGAAAAAGATGTGAAAAAAAAGTACCGCTTCAAAAGCAGAAATATAATATTAGGAAAGAAAGAGACAAAAGGCAATAAAAAGAAATAGTAATAATAAGTTTTCGTGGTTCTTTTTTTTTATTTTAATTATGTTTATATACAACAATTCAATATACTGTGTATTATCTGTGCAACTGTACCACCTTATTAATAGATAACACATAAACAACTGATAAAACAAGCGACTAAACTAATAATTATAAAACAGTGAGAGAAAAGCTCAAAATATTGACAAAAAAAAAGAAAAAAACCAGTAAACTTTAAACAAGCATTGGTGGTTCCTGTTTCACAGATGATGCGACAAACCCTGAGTGTAAAACGGAACTTGTATTTGGTACTGACTGTAACGGATTCACCACCGGAAGTGGTTGAGAAGTGGGTACCGATTGCGGTATCAAATTGCACCACTGTTCCGATGAGTTCACAGATAGCAGTTGCTGCAATTGTTGCACTTGTTGATTCTGTAGAAGCACTTGTTGAGATACCAGACTATTGGTTATCCCATTTTCCAGGATATTTTTTAGTGCAGAAAATTGAGCATCAAATGCGTCGTGGAACGCTTTACTATACGGGTCCGGCTTTACGCCATGGAATGCTGACATCGATGCAGCATCTGGTATACCCATATAGCCATTTTGCGCTACTAAGCCCTGTTTATCCAGTGGCTTCACGTCCGGTGATGTTCCGTCAGCAAAGTTTTTATTAGATAAATTAACAGCTGCAAAGCTAAGCGACTGTGGGGATATAGGTATGCGTAATCCCATCGACGACGGGCTTGGAAGATCTTTTATAGACGATGGAGATGGAGGAAACTGCATCGGACCAACAGCCGGTTTTGATTCTGTCAGATCTGCAAATATTTTTTTTTTTTTGATTGTAGTAAAGTGCATACTGATACTTCAAAGTGTAAAATTAAAACATCAGTTCATAACTACAATAATTGTAATAAAAAAATTATCAGATATGATCGTTAAATCAGTGAATCTTGGAAATAAATGAGAAACAGTATCAGGTGCCTAAAAGTTAATTTTCCTGATAAAAAAAATGAAAATATAACATTTATACTTACTGAACATATTTGGTAACAGCGATTCCAATGAGTTTGAACCTTTCTCTTCAGAATTTTGATTGTTTAAATAAAGTTGACATTGTTCCAAATGAATTTTTAAACCAACTTTTTGCGCATAACTTTTATCGCATGCCGAACACTTGTACCTGCAAAAACAAATAAAATGCAATAAGATACTCGATGTTTTTATTATTACCTTATTTTTGTGACTAATATAATACTGAAATATGATACGGTGCTTTATCACGACTGTATAACCAGTTACTGCAGCCCAACAAATCACCAGTTTTTTTACAAACAATGGTTTTCATAACTGTTTTACTTACGTAAATAAGCACTAAATAACTTAAACATTCTGTACTTTTAAACTACTGTTTGTCAGAGTCTTCAATACCCTCACAACAAATATCAATAAAAAATTAAAAAATTTAAAAGCCATTCATTTAGTTTTCCACAATTAGTTTATTCGGCTGCATACAGTAAATTCAAAAAACCTGAATAACTTCTTAACAAATTTCAACAAAGATTTCTCTCTTTCATGTCAGATTTCATTGTGCTCAAAGCAAACAGTAACTCTTGAAAACATTAAACAAATTCAGAATCATCAATTTAAAATTACAATTTCAAACACTGGAATCTTGAAAGTAGCTTACGGTTTTTCGCCAGTATGTACTCGCTGATGAACTTGCATATTACCCTGATTCGTAAAAGCTTTATCGCAAAAGCTACACCTAAACTGTTTTTACTTTTAATGTCATTCAAGAGCAACGACTTTGGCACAACAAAATAACTGATAGCCACACCGTATCCTTGATATAATTATTTAGAAGATTATTTGATTTAAAAAAAAAAACCTAACCTGAACGGTCTTTCACCAGTGTGCAGCCGGGTGTGTACATAGAGGGAAGAAGCGTAGGCATATCGTTTACCACAGAACTTACACACATATTCGCTAGCTTTTTTGGGAGGTGGTTCAGGTGCTGCCTAAAAGAATGCACTATTGTCCTACAATTAGTGATATCAAAACCCGAAGAACTTCCGCATCAAAATGAGTCGGCAAGAGGCGTTAGGCAAACAAACATTGACTTTCAATAACGTAAAATAAATTGGCTAAGGAAAAAGTACAACGAATAAACAAACAAAAAGAAAACAAAAAAAAAAAACAAGAAAACTAGACTGACTAAAAAAGTTATTCCAGGCTGATATTGATGTGTTGCTTCATGAGCACTCAGTTGTGACTTTTGGATGAATGACCTTCCACAGTGTTCACATGAATACGGTCTTTCGCCGGTATGTGTTCGTTCATGACTTTGCAAATTACCTTGGCTGGCAAAAGCTTTTGGACAATATTTGCAGACGTAGGGCCGTTCACCAGTATGCGTTCGGACATGTACCTGTAATCAACGAAGAAGTGCTTCTGATGTATGTATCGTCAAAAAAAAAAAAAAAAAA